GAGAGGAGAGAGAAGAGAGGAGAGGAGAGAAGAGAGAGAGGAGAGAGGAGAGAGGAGAGGAGGGAAGAGAGGAGAGAAGAGAGCAGACAGGAGAGAGCAGAGAGGAGAGAAGAGAAGAGAGAGAGGAGAGAGGAGAGAGGAGAGGAGAGAGGAGAGAGAGGAGAAAAGAGAGAGGAGGACAAAGAGGAGAAAGGGATGACCCCGGACGTACGTTTCCTAAGTGGTTTCGCCCGTGGGGTGTCATTCTCATTGCATGTACGTGTCACGTGTCTGCATTCGGGTTCGTGGCTCCTATCTGGTTAGGTTTTTTTCTAGCGAAAGATGGTTCAGGGCTCGGGGGTTCGGGTTTGGGTTGAAGGTTTGTTTGGATTATCCAAGCCCAATTAGCAGCACAGGCTGCGCGAGATTCCATAGTCGGTCCCACAACGACCCTGGCAGTGCCTTCGCGGGATAGTCGCCGTTGACAACAGGGCCACATAGGATTCGAAAATTGCAGTTGGCTTCCTGTCTCGAAAATTGCCAGAGCCACTTCTAAAGACTCAATGAAAGATCTTTTCAAAAAAGCCTGACATGTTCACTGAAATACGTTCGGCCATGTGCAAGACTCTCACCATGTCAAAGCATTTTTGCAACGGTACCCTCACATGCTCACATGCACTTCAATGTCAACACATGGTCGCCCAGATTTGTTCATGTGCTGAGGAAAACCATTGTTGAAATTGTTTGTCTGGGAGATCGGCTGCCACTCCATACAAGCAGGTACACATCAGGGAGTCCCAGACACTTCCCCTCCAGTTGCGTATCTTCGTTGGACCAGGTGGGCAACTGGAAGCTTGGCCCCGCTGTTTGGAGCAGTGATCAAAACAATATCACGTCTCTAAGCATCCGCAACTTCCAATCAGGGTGTACACACACACACACCCACACACACACACACACACACACACACGCCCTACAAACCCTAAATCCTAAGCTCTGAACCAGAAACTGTTTGTTTCCAGGGTGCAACCGGAAAAACACAGACAACCTAGACATGCAAAAACTAATCCAGGTTCCTCAATTGCGCCGCACAGTGACCAGCATGTGCTCATGGTGTTCTTCGGAAGGGTTCTTCGGCGGAGGACTTCTGTCCAATTTGTGAACAGCTTTTGCCAGGTGAAGGTGTTTGAGCGCGACTTTGCCAATGGGTGCCGGCCTCTTCTGCCGTGCGCCGATCAATGTCAGGAGCTGTTTCTGCAGTCGGTTCAGATCAGTCGCTAGCAGACTTACATTGAGATGTCATGTGCGAATGTTTGCGCAACTCTTGCAGAAGTAGCAGGGGTATGGCATGTTGCAGTTGCAGCAGTGAGTCCAGCTGATTTGATATGAGTGCCCACCCGCTGAGATATTTGTTTGGCGAGCTGCTTTACAAGCATGGACTCTTGCAGAACTTCGAGGCCTGACCTCAAGCCCCGCACACAACCCCTTGCTTTGCAGTCAAATCTTGCTCAGTGTCAGGAGGAGTTCGTCGATGAAGCCAACCTGGCTTCCAAGAGGCCTACAGAGCTTGTTTGGTTTGCATAGCCAGGAAATACGTTGGTTTCTGCCTTGCTGATATGAGATCACTGTAATTATGCAACTTACGGGGGTTCGAGGCTTGATGGTCTCTTGTGTCTCAGAATCTTCGTCCTTATGCCGAGTGCAGCAGCACCCAGGCAGAATTTCTCCATGGTGCAGCGGGCACTCCGAGAATCGGTGCTAAGCATAGACTCTGTGGGCGTGCCGTAGAAGACAAGCAAAGCACGGCGAATGCCCAGGCCGATGAGCTGGGCGTTAAGCTCACACAAGCTCAGGCTCAGTGTCTTGCTCGTCTCCTTTGGCAGAAAATGCATGCCAAATGTGCTGCTGGAGGTGAACGAGATCATGGACGAAGATCGAGGGTCTTCGCTGCGGTGGGCACCGAGCTCCAGGAAGTCTTGATCAACACCCCTGACATGGTAAGGATGCTCTACCAGCTCCGGCGGGTACTCAGCACCAAGGCCGACCGCACGTTTGCCTGCTTCTATCAAGTCAGAGGCGTTATTGCGGCTTTCAACTCTTAGAGGCCAAGGGAGCCGTGCCCGTGGCTCAGGCCCTGCCATGCACCAGCTTGCCAGTGTGCGTCAGCGTGCTGGTGCCGTGGTGATGTTCAGGGCGCAGATGGTCACGGCAAGCCACGTCTCCAGAAGCAGGTGAAAACCGAAGAAGAGGACGATTTGATTGAGTTTTGCCACATGCCACGTCGTCCCAGTCAATGTTAGCCTCAAGGAGAACTTCTTCGATCAGAGGGTCAAGACTCTCCGACCAATTGATCAGAGATATCCCTATGAAGCCCACAACAAGGCAGCATCACAGCACCCTTGAAGCGCAGCTGAGATGTGCACACCCATGAAAGTATTGCACGCGCATGGTATGGAGTGCAGAGAGGCCTTCGTGGACGAACACACTAGGCAGCTGCGAAGCGCCCGAGAACAGGAGTACCAGGTGCGAGCTTGGCGGAAGGGTTTTCTTGACAACTATCCGTTGCCTGTGGTGATGCCCGCATATCTCTGCAGGAGCTGGTGGAGAGGAGTGCAAACGTGCAAGAGTTTAGACGTGCCCAGCACAAGAAAATGTGAGCCTCGCCACTTTCTCTGGCGTTTCTGTTCTTGCTGTTGCTTCACTGTCCCTTTGCTGCCAGGGAAAGCAGCAAAGCTCAGAAGGAGCTCGCCAGAAGAGCTGGTGAGCAGCACTGGCAGGCGTATCCACATAGCGAGTTGGCATTAGATGCACACTACTGGCGCATGCTGCTTGATGCGGCCAGGGCGTACAGGAGAAGAAGTACAACTTGCTGGAGAAGGCTGCCATCATTTTGAGTCAGCGTCCTTCAGGTGTTTCTGATTGATTCAGCTGCTTAGGATCTGAACTTTGAGAAGGAAATGATACGAAGAGATCAGCTGAGGAGCGAACGAGCTACGGAGCCACGCTTTGGCTTCATTCATGGCTCTTCAACTTGTCAGGATAGCTACCATTCGAGAAAACTACGCGCAAGACTGTGGCTTCAGGGAAGGGGATGAGGACAATGTGCAGCAGAGAGTCTCTGGACAAGGGCCTTGGCGCAGATTTTGTCAGCAGGACCATGGCATTGCTTGGTTTGAGAAGAACCTCCAGCGGATTGGTATTGACACGCTGGCGGCTCATGAATGAGTCAGTATTGTTTTATCATGTTTTGGCTGCGCTGATGGCGTCAGGCGTTAAGGAGCGACACCCACAGAAGCCAATTCTTTTTTTGGACTTTGAGTTCTTCTCATTCTCTAAAAATGTCTGGCAGGGGATGCCGGAAACGCAAACTTGCGAAAGTCCAAGGGCTGATGACATCTCTCCAAGAATCAGAGCCAGAAAGACTTTCACCTTGGTTGGGCAGGGCCCCAACTACGGCGAACCTTACTGTGGCACATGATACGTCATACAATGAAACACCAATCAAGCAACGTGCAGTGTGTGTAGTGCCTGTGCAGGAAAGCGCGAGCAGGCGCGAGTCCAAAATAAACCGCTAACGCGAGACCGCCTCGGCAAAGGGC